GGAAAGTTGTTACATTCAAGAGAACCGTAACAAAAGAAACGTAGAAAGTATTTTTTCCATATTATTTTCCTCATGTCTGAAGGCCAGACTTGACAAGTTTCACAGGGTAAATGCTCTGCATACAGACTCAAACAATTACAAAGAAATCCATTGGCTGGAAATTTGTTGATGGGAAGAAACATTGTAAGGACTGAGAATAGGCCTGGTATTTACCCATTCACTGAAGCTACATTCTTATACTTTTCTGAAAGCTGGAACAAGTTACTTTTGGGAGAGGAAGCAGCAAAATGTCTGTCTGAGAGCTTCAAGAAGGGAATTTGATTGCTAAATTTCTACCTATTTCATTGTCCATATTACATAAAAACAACTCCAAAAACAACTATCAAGTTGTTTGATATGGTCATGATCGTGGCCTATTTTAATCCTTTTCATTTTATCTATACCTATGTTCTGGAGAAGTTTTCTAAACCCATCAATTGATAGAGAGTTGTTTTCTCCATAATATTTTCCCTGGACTTCAGAAATGCTTGATTCTGATAAAAAAATTACTATAGATAAGCTATCACCATAAGTGGCTTATAACAGAAAACAGTTGATTATCTATTCCACATTTGAAGTGTTCAGTGAGCAATTTCCACTATCTGTAAAGTCCATTAAACTGGAAAAAGAACAGGCAGCATTGCCATAAACAACTAAGAACATTTATGCAAAATTCTTCCATACAAGGAACAATAAGTGACTTGGCAGCATATATATGACTAAAAACAGGAAATAGAGAGAGGGATAACGCTGTGAAGTTCTTGCACTGTAAGGACAGAAATGAGTAACACAAACAGTTTCAAACGGAAAACCATTCCATCACATAATCTATCTTACAAGGCTGAAAAGTGACTCACCAAACTGGTATTAATTAAAAGGGATTAAAATTATCATTAAGTATTACAGACAGGAGTCAAGTTCTCCGAGATGAGAAATGAAACAGTAATTAATACTTACATGTGGAAGGAGGTGTAAGAAGGCATCTCCACTCAAGGTCCCCACAGCCAGTGCCACAAGAAAACTTAGAAGAAATTTGAAAAATACACGATTCATCAGCGGCACCAATATAACACCCAATAAGGAAAGAAAACTGATGACGGAGATGGATATAAAGCCACCAATCCAGGCTGGTAAAAAAAAAAAAAAAAATAAAGCAGTAACAACAGTAAGTAACAGCTGTACATGATTTTATTTGCTTAACATTTCTGTTATCAAACACTTCTGATCACAGGTAAGTCACAAAGATTCATAACCAACTGAAATATATTTCCATTAAGCTTTGATGTTAAAAAACAACCTACCTATCTGCAGAGAGTAACTTTTGGGAGGAGTTTCAGCTTTTTCACTAGTTGCATGGACTATGCAGTACTTGCCATCGATCTGATTAATAAGAGCTGGACAGAGGTAACTAAATTCTGTAGCAGACAGCAATACTTGAGTGCCTATTCCATGTGACTGCATCAGTTTTGAAGCATTTGAGCACTGCGAAAATAAGACATATGTTAAAGATTAACCAGAACCAAAATACCATGACATACCTTAAAAGGACTGCACATCCCATCTTAATTGAAATGCAGTGGTACCATATAAAAACAGCTGTATCAACACAACTCAAAAACTGGTAACAGACCAATTTAAGTGAAAAATGTCCCTCCACCCCTTTCCTCTCCCAGAAAGCTCATTTGGGAGTCCTGGTAAATAATTATCACTCATTCTCAGCACAAGTGGGTCAGATGCTTTTTGCTGTATAAATAGAAAAGGCCTAATACCTTTCATTCTGTTTTAAAGGCCACACAAGGAAGCTATAACAAGGTCAAAAACCTTTTTATAGAAGTGACTACTATGGAAAGTCTTACACAGAGCATGTTCTGCATACACTTCCTCTAGTAAAGAGCTCCCCATTGGATGACCTACATGTAGTCTCACCAAGTTTAAAGAACAGTAGTACTTCTGCTTTGACTGTGCAGAACACAGCAACAACTTGTGAATTCAGTACCTATAGTCACACATTACACAACATCCAGTCTGAATTACCTGGCGTGGCTGCAAATGTTAAGACCCCAATTGCCTTTTAAAGGCTTTAACAGAAAAGGACTTGACTGTGTAAGAAAACTGCCTACAACACAATTATTGACTTTACTGGCCCTACTTTTTACTATTTTAAAGTACCAGGGAACTTTTTGACACAATATTTTTTACAGTTGGTTTCTATACATAGTCTTGAAGACGGGGAGGGGGTTGAAGGAAAATGGTTCTATGCTATCACAGCTGTGATAGCTCTGATAAGAATGACAGTATTTTAACTAGATTTTTTTACTTTCATCATATTATTAGGAAAACAAGACAGAGACTGACTTTAAGGCAGAATTGCAAGTTTTAAATTTTAAATGTTTTTCATTTGTAGTAATATTTTAAATTATTATATAAATAGTAAATATATTAAACAAAGTATACGTTTATACTTAATTTTCCTCTGAGCTTGTGAACATGACACAACATTCTTTCAAAATGTTAAGTTTCAAGGAAAGTTGTTTGCATGTGTTTTGCCATGGGTACGGTTACACCACAAAGCTTGCACCCAGCTGAACGACAAGCATCTGACAAATAAGCCATGACAACATTCCCAGCGGATCCGGATTCCTGAGAATACAACAGAATCGGACTCACCTCTTGAGTGCTTTGTTTTTTCAGTTTAGAATACAGGTAACTTCCTCCTTCCGACTCCTTCGGGGAAGCACGAGATTCATTTGCCTTGCTGACAGCAAGCCAGCTCGCATTGCGGCCGCCCGTGACATTGACGGCATTGGGGCCGGTCAGCCCTGAGCGAGCAACTGTCTTGACTTCCCCAGGCTGCACATTCTGCACCTCGGAGTGGCCACCTGCAGAAGCAGTGATGACAGACGCCATTATTTCATTAACGGTGTTCTTGCTGCGTACAAAGTTCTGCTGGTGTTCCACATTCTCCGCTTTATGAGGTTCCTTCACGTGGCTGTTCCTGTGGTCTTTGTTAGCATCAGATTCATGGTTTGGACAAGCAGTCTTCTCGGAGCTTTTACTCAACGAAACATGATTATGGTGAAAGTGATGATCGTGGTCATGGTCATGGTCATGATCATGATGATCATGATCGTGGTGATCATGGTCATGATCATGGCGATCATGGTCATGATCGTGGCCTATTTTAATCCTTTTCATTTTATCTATACCTATGTTCTGGAGAAGTTTTCTAAACCCATCAATTGATAGAGAGTTGTTTTCTCCATAACGATGAAAAAGTTCTTGAAGGTGAAACTTCTGTATTAGTCCTGCCAAGTCAGTATTAATGCCCACTGTCTTTTCTGGAAAAGCTCTCTCTGATGTATGCACAACAGTAACGGTCTCCACTCCATGATGATAACTTTCACACAGCAGTATGGAAAAGGATACAAGGAAAATAACCGATACTGTACTCTCCATTGCAGTTCCTTTTTAGCAGTGCAAACAATCTAAAAAAAGAGGAAAATTTTAACAGTTTGCATAGAACCGATCACATCTTCCTCTGTAATGCTAGTTCATAATTTGCTTAAACAAACAAAAAAACCCACAACAAAATCAAACCCTTCTCAAAGCATCAATGCAGCGAGAGACATTTAAACTTCTTATGCATTCAGCACTTTTCCCAGATGTGTGGCCTCAGGCAACAAGAGATGAAGCTGCATACCGCAGTGAAGTCACTGGCCATAAACACCTCCCCAGGTGCAAGCTTACCTGTGTTTAGCTCCACCTGAATCACTGCTAATACTGGCTAAACAGTGAGAGCCCTCAAGGGTGCACCAACTCAGTTCTAGGTTAGGGTTTTCTCATGCTTAAAAGAAGCCCTATAATTTCTCTCTTAGGAATGAATAAGTAGTATAAACTATATGCTCCTGCTTAAAAATCGAAATTCCCAACCTTTAATCACTGGATTTCCTGGAGGTTTTGGCAAACCAGCTGGGTGAGTGCTTCCACCACTCCACAAAAATGCATTTGTTATGCTGCCATGTTCTATCTGTGTTTTAACATTATGGCCACACGGCTTCTTTCACTAGGCAGGCAGACCATTGCTGTGGACCAGATGCTCACAAGCATTTATGTGTTTCATTCCATAAATATAAATACTCCAGCAAGGCTGCAAATGAACTGCTGTGGAGGCTGCGTGCAGGGCTACACCCGAGGGCTGCCTCCCTTTTCCAGGGAGACACAGAGAACATAACCTAAAGCCGAGAACCTCAGTTTCCTAAAAGATTAGTCAGCCTTAAAAACCCCACACCGCCGGCAGAAAGGGACGGTGAGGTGACCTCATCAATGTCTATGAGTATCTGAAGGAGGAGTGCCAAGAGGATGGATCCAGGCTCTTCTCCGTGGCGCCAACCAACAGGACAAAAGAGAATGGGCAGAAACTGATGCACAAGGAGTACCACCGGAACATGACGAGAAGCTTATTTACTGTGCGGGTGACCGCGCACTGGAACAAGTTGCCCGGAGAGGTTGTGGAGTCTCCCTCACTGGAGACACTCAGGAACCATCTGGACACCATCCTGTGCCATGTGCGCAAGGACGGCCCTGCTTGAGCCGGGAGGCTGGACCAGATACTCCACTGTTGTTCCTCCCGACCTGACCCGCTCTGTGGTTCCGTGACCCGCAGGAGCCGCGCCCGCGCTCACGGTCCCCGCTGCCAACGCCGCGGCGGCCCCGGACACCGGCACTGCCCTGAGCGCCGCGCTGGGGCAGGCCCGGCCCCGGGCCGGCTCCGGGCCGTGAGAGGGCAGCAGCCGCGGGAAGGGGAGGAGAAAAAGAAGACAGAGGTTACCTGGCCCGCCGCCGGGACGGGCTGAGCCCTGCCGCCGCTGCCCGCCCGCGCCGGCCGCGCCGCGCCCCTTCCCTTTCCCTTCCTTTTCCGGGTACGGCGGCCGCCACGCGCCGCTCGGGAGCTTCTCCAACGGCGGAGAGGGGCGGGAGTCACGTGGGGGTGGCGGAGCTGTGGCTTCCACACCGGCTGGAGCCGCCCCGAGGGTCTCACCGCCCCCCTCCCCCCCGTCCGAGTGCTGCCGGTGCCCTGTGGGAGCTGCTCCAGGGCTCTGTACGGGGCTACAGGGCCAGCCCAGGAGGAACCGTGCGGGCTGGGGGAGGGCAGAGCGGGCGAGAGAGCCCAGGAGGAACCGTGCGGGCTGGGGGAGGGCAAGGCGGGAGAGAGTCAGCAGCGCGGAGGAGGTGGCCCAGGAGGAAGACTGAGTCCCGAGAGGGTCTTTATTTACGAAAGCACTGAAATTTGGGTTTGGTGGTGTTTGGAAGATGGCGGTTCCGTGCGAGGTGTGAAGTGCTCCCCAAAGAGTTGAGAGTCAGAGAGGTTCCTCCCAGAAAATACGAGTTGTTCTGGGCTGGAATCGGCGGTTTGGATGATGGTGCTGGGTGTGGTAGCATCCCTTGGAGGGATGCTTGGAAAGGGCTTTGTACGAGGACTCCTAGTCTCAAAGAGTACGTGTGCAGGCAAGCAAGGGCTGGAAGTGGGCTGACTGGTTGTAAACAAGGGGTGCGGGTAAATGGCAGGCGATGTCGGGTTTTGTTGGCATCCACGAGGCCATGGCGGTGAACACTCTTTGGTCGAACTGCCATTGTAACTAACGATCTGGCAGAAGAAAACTGTGCTCTGCTCACGAGTCGAGAAAGACACTGTAAGAAAGGAATGAGGTCACCTCGGAGAAAGGCTTGAAACTTGCTAAAAACATGTTGCTTTCTTCTGAACAGGCATACTCAGTTTTTCAAACGTTGCTTTGCTGTACCGCTTTTCTTACCTCGTCATGAGCCCTTCACCACTGTGTATTCCTGGCATAGGCTCTCTTACATTTCCTCTTTACTCCTCTACCATTTCCAGAGTTTTACATTCTACCATCATATGATTAATATTGCTAGTAAAGTGGGTGCAGTTGTGCTTACCCATCCCATCTGGCTCTGGAATTTGGCTTCTCTTGTGTGATCACTTGCCAAGATTTTTCAGCTTGCTAGAGTGTGAAAGCAACACTGAATCCTGCTGCAGGATCTGGCTTTACCAATGACTCCTAAATGTTATACCAGTGACTTAAACTTAACATCCAAACCATTCTCGGCCATCTTTCTCCTTCTGCTGTCTGCATTCTTGACCTTGCTCACCAGTCAGGAGATGACAGATCTATCTTTTTTATGCCTAATACCTCCAACTCTGACTGAATTAAACCTCTTTGTTTTGTGAGTTCAGCTGACTGAAGGACAGAAGGGAAATATGCGTTGTGAACAACTCCAGAAACAGAGAGCAACATGTCAGAAGGTTATGGATTTGTTCTGTGCGGTCACTTTTGAGGTATTGAAAAAAACTCTGTGTCCCTCAACCTTACTCTTTTTTTCTTTTCCCCTGGGGAAAGAGAGGGAGGCTATAAAATGCAGGAGTGGGTGGCGTTTTTTGTTTAATGCTAATTCATTTACCATGAATACTACTTACTAGATGCCTTAGTAATATTTCAGTAACACAACATTTATGTCTACGATGCTATTGTTAATCATTTGATTGGGGTAAATTATTTTTTTTTAATTTTTTCAAATTACAGCTGCTAAATGATGGAGCCTGTTTTTCTAACCTCTTGAATGCATCCACTGTCTCTGTTTCGTTGTGTAAAATCTGCAGTTTCCTCTAACATCTTGTCAAGGTCATGTACAGACCTAAGTGCTAGAGCTTAGGTCACAGAACTGGTCTTCAGTGCTAAAATGCTCTCTATTTTTTTTGTTGTTGTTGTTTAATTTGAGTAGCTAACACACATCAGGTAGGCGAAAAGAACCCATGCTGGTAAAAACAATTCACCGAAAAAACTTATTTGCAGTAAAACTTGATGTCAGGTCAGTTTTACGGTACCTGAATTATCTCAGTAAGTTTATCTCATGGTAAAATTAAAGCCCTTCAGTCTATTTTTGCCCTTTCTGTTAACCATGTCTTAGTTCAGCCATGAGCTCTGGAGTAGCTGTGATCAGATAAAACAAAGGTCTTGGTGACCCTTGTGGATGGTTTAATGAATGTGTAAAAATCTCTTAACCTGTGGACAAATGGGAAACATTACTTAGAGAGTCAGTGGAGAGCAAACCAGGAAGCAGTTTGATAGCTGTCTTAATTCATCATGGGACTTCATCTTAATGACAGTGTGTAGCTCCAGGCCTCTGTTCCTGAAAGAGTATGTTTGGAATTGAAAAGACCATCTTTGTTGGGATTTTTGGTTATTTTTTTTCCTGTTCAGAAGAGCTTTTCAGGAGGTGACAGCCTTTTCAGCATGGAAAAGAGATGGATGAGGAGGAATAGGATGGAAGTGGAAAAGTTTATGAAATATTACCACCTGCTTAACTGCTCTGACTGGTGTTGCCCAAAAATTTTTTGATTGCTTTGCTGAGTATGTGTCAATGCAAATGCTTTAAAACGTAGTGGTGTGGAACCAGTAAGGAGCGAGCCGGCTGTTCGTGCAGTTCTAGTCTCTTTGCATGACTTTATCACAGCTGTGTTGTATGAGCTCAGCATTACACACTGAGCAGAGGTGATGATAAAGAAGTGAGCAGGGAAGTGGCCCTGAGCATGGTGCTGAGGGCCACTCTTCTGTGTTCCTTCTAAGCTTCTATCCGTAGAATTTTCTTGAGATTTGGAAGGTTTTATATTTCCTTGCCTTTTAACTTTTAATTGAGTACAGCTATGTGATTAGAAATATTAAATGTATGAATGAAAACTCTGAAAGTTAAAAACCAAAAGTTTGTTTTAAACTGCAGAGCTGTTACCATGCAATTCCTGGACCAGTGTAGCCTCATGCAAAACTCCCTTATTTTTCTTTAAAATCTCCAGTAATCCTTTTATTCTATTAACAGCATTCCACAATTGTAAAGAAATCCCCAAATCAGCAATTCCTTCTGTTATTCTTCCAAAAAGTTCCTCTCCCCAATGCCATACCGAACAACTAATTAGCAATTGCATATTTGATGTTATTATATTCTAATTCCTAAAGATATATTTTAATGTAGCAATGTCCTTAGTTTGTGTGTGTGTTCTGTGATGGTTTTTAAAATACTTAAAATTCTGTCTGGAGAAAAATAGTATTACTGGCTATGTCTGCTGAATGGCTGCAGATTTTTAGTAGCCTACAAGGTGAGCTCTGGGGGTTTGGGGGTTTTTTAATTAGCACATGAACAGAGCAATTGTTTCTTAAGTAACAAAATATATATAAATATATGTCTTTCAATAGAGATGCTAACAAGCAGTACCTAAGCCCTTACCTAAGAATCTCCAGGACTTTCTTCTGTACTCCTGTCTCTCTTCAGTGGCTCATTCTCATGTCAACAAATTCTTTTCCAAAGACCTCTCTGAAATAGAGAGGTTTTAACAGAAGAAATAGTTATTTGGAAGCTGCACAGGAGGAGCATTAGATCCTTTTGTGCTGTGCTTAGCTGCACAGACATCCAGGGAAGCACTAACTGCCAGGATGGGGCTTCAACTTGTATCTTATATTTTCTTACAAATCGTGGCTATAGTCACAACATTTCAATTTAGATGTGCTTGCAAATAATTTCTACAGAATGAGCCCTAAAATGATTAAAAGGGTAAAGAACAGAAATAAAATATGAAAGTTGTGCTGTCTTTCCCTACACAGCATCTTTTGCCTTTAGCTTCATCTATCAGTTATTGATGCCATTGGGAAAACTCCCTAGGGATTTGTGCATGCTATCACAGGCACTTACAAACCAAAAGCTTTGCAGTTTGGGTCTGTTGGGGTTCTTGTGTTCAGTAATTTTGATTGTATTTTGTGTTCATCAATGCTTATGATGTATCTAGAATATCTGTATTGAAAATAATTTGTAAATTTTTCAGCTGGGCTTGATAATGTAACAATAATACAGAAAATTGGTTTATTTCCGCATGATGTGACCAGAGGCTGATTGCCATGAGCACAGAGGAGCGATGACAGGAGGTGAAACTCCAGTGACGAAATCACCGGGAAAACATCAGGGAAGAACACGCTGATCTGGATCTGGGACTGTAAAAGGAGGAGGATGTGCCTCAGGACCAAGTGTGAAACTCACCACACAAGTTAATGGAAGAGGCTCTCTGGGTTACTACAGATACCACATCATCCTGAGAGGGACATTGTCCTTGCATCCCATAATGACTTCAGAAATCCTTGGGATTGTGCAAGACTTATTATAAAACATTAAGGAGAAGGACCAAGGTAGGGAAAAGGAGGATCAAGGTGTTTTGAGGAGGGACAAATGTGAGAAGATAAGGAAGAGGTAGCAATAAGGGCCAGTTGTAAGGCCGCTGGTAAGTACCTGATCAGAGCTGCTTTTCCAGCATTGTTGCTGAACTTCATTTGCAACTGTTTTCATGGATGAGAGTCTGTCTGTCAGTGGATGGACAGCTAAGTACCAGTGAACGGAGAGGGGACCAGTGGTCACAGGGGCCCATGCTTCTGTGATACCAGCAGCTGCAAAGACTGGAGTGTCTGTAGGGCTGAGTGCCAGCAACTGGACAGATGCCCAGTCATAGATATCCGTTTGTCTGGAGTGGCAGCAGCTGGAAAGACTGGAGTACATGTGTCTTGTGAGGATCTGTACATCACTGTGTGTAATTACTAAAGAGCATGAAGCTGGGCTAGCAGGCTAGTAAGATAAGCTTGGGAGCCAAGTACTGGAGATACCAGAGAACCCTGGGTGTGGTCTATGGGAGGGACTAGGAGCTCCAGGCCAGCTGTGGGAAGGACCCATGGGGTCAGGGGACCAGCTGTAAGAGAGCCTGTTAGCACGTACCTCTGTACATGAGGCGACTGTCAGATCAGGGGATTCAGGGACTGGGTATAGATTGAGTAAGACCAGTTACCAGAGAGAGTCAGAGGGTGTGTGTCACATGCTCCCGGGGGTTTGGGACCCAGCAACCCATGTGGACGTGCAGGCCTTAGGGGCTTTTATGTCCAGGTGCCAGACACTGGAGACACCAGAAGATCCAGCAGTCAGTTACTGGACAGATGGAGTGTCTATGAACAGCCACTGGAGTATTGTATGGAGTGTGTGTTCCTTGCTCGCAGGCCTTCATCCTAATCAGCCAGACAGGGGAACAGTATTGTGGATGTTGGTGCTGTTGGTGGTTGTGCCAGGGCTATGTTTTTTGTCTGTGTATCTGTGTGGATGGCTGCGTGTGCATGTGTGTACTCTACACTTCCACCTATTGAGAAAACATGCTCAGCCCCACTATTGGCATCCTGGCCTCTACTGGGCAACAAGCTTTGGTAACCTCTAATAACTATTGTTGTTTGGGTATTGTAGTGGTATTGGGTCTAGACAGAGAAAGGCTGAGTTTTCAGGAAGGAAAAGAGTGTAAGCAACAGCAAAGTATACTAGAAAAGAATATGGAGAAAATGAGGAGAGAGGGGAGGGAAGAAAGAAGCACTCTAGAGAGACCTATTTAGAATTTTAGAACAATGCACTTTGTTATATAGCAAGGCTATATATATATACATACAACATACACAATACAATCATATGCAATAGTTTTATACGTTCTTGTGGATGCTATTGAATGAAAGATGCTGAAGGAGGAGAAAAACAGCATTTATTCATGCATGGCATGCTTTTAAGTACTATAAGTTATTATTTATCTTCACAGGAGACTTTACAACATAATTACAAGGTATCCCAGGATGGAAATTCTGTTCCTTTGTGCCACTGGAATATAATAGTCAAAGTGTCTGAGTACAGTTTATCATCTGGAGCTTAGAGCTTTTATTCTAAAAGTTGTCAAAGCTGCATCATAGAACATGCATGTTTTATGTATGTCTAAAACACAGGGGTAGCAATTCTTTCATCAGCAAGTTTCTGCTTAATTAGAAAAAGTTATATTTAAAAAACACAGAAGCAATAGCTTCCTCATTTGTTTGTTCCTTTTTTCCATGTTTGATTGCATAAATAGAAGCCTGAATCTCAAGTGCCCTGACTCAATCAGCAGAGGCAGGCTGCAAATCTTACTGGGATAGCACTGGGCTTTTTGACACTCATTGCCTTCACTTCTGTACTTGAGCCAACAATGCAACATTCACTTACGACAAGAAAATTCATGGTGAAGAATGATGTTCACGGTAGCAGCATATTCTCTGCAATTTTAGGTACAGTGTCTTGTAAAAGGAATGTTGCACCAGGATGACCTCTGCTGCAGCTCTTTTATTTGGGCTGAACGTGGGACTGGATTGATGGCCGGCCACCTTTCCCTTTGACACAGCCTGCTCCTTTTTTGCACCCTGATTTGCTTTGTCCTAACAGAAGAATGATGCCACTTTGGTTTGTGTATTTGGAAAATGGATTGTAATAATGGAAGCCATAGCTGTTTAATGAACTGTTGGAATAAAGTTTTGGAATTCAGATTGCTTTGGAAAACTAGGACTGTTAAAAGCTGGATTCAAAAAGCACCTATGAGCACAGCAGTTTTAGCTGTATTTTAGATTCTCTGCTGGATACAGAAGATAATTGGAAGGCATGCATTTGGGGAGTTGTCTTTCTAAACACGAGTTTAAAATCAAAGTTTTCAAAGCCAAATGTCTTTGAAATTACTGAAGCTAATGAATACTTAGCATCTCAGAATACAAGCCTGCTTGTTTACATTCTTCAGTCTGGATCTAGCATTCCCATGCTATTTTAAAAGCCTGTCTTTAATGAATAATGTAAGTTTAAATTCTGATCAGTAAAGCTTTAGTGGCTGCCATTAAGGTAATATTTGAAGTAAACCTGTTCTGACACAAAGCCTGGATCACAGATGGAGACATTAACTGGAAAATCTATACCTTAAAAGTATTGCTGTATTTCTGTTTGGCACTTTCTGGAAAGAAATAGCAGCGTGTGTGTTGGGTAGGTCTTGGGACATGCCACAGTTGCTTGTTTACATTCTGCAGAATAGATTGTGTGTTGTAGTAACTGTACATAAGTAGACAAACTCTAAAACTGCATGTAGCACTTTTAACACTTTAGATAAGCTACACCTCTGGAACTACTTAGCACATGCAGGTTTCTAAGATATCAAGCAGCCAAGCTCTAACGTTCAGAATTTCTTGTAACATTTCTGTAAGTAGGAGACCTGTTGTTTGTCTCAAAACTTGCCTGTTTTGACAAACTGTTACTCTAATGTCCTCACTTGTGTTAAATTATTGCTGCTTTCAGGTGTGCTTGTTTCAAAACTGTGATACCAAAGTAACCTCATACAGGGGACAGATGCCACAGTAATATTTAGGATTATTGTCATTATGTTTTCTTCTGCCTGGTATTAAATTTGGATGGTATAATATCTCTTGTGAAATAGAACACTAGTAGATAACTTGAAAACCAGGCACTGCCAGTTTTTTTTTTTCCTATCGAACTAATTTCCTTTGAACCTGAAGCAGCATCCATCAGATCTTGTCAGCAGCACAACGAGGCAGGACTGTATATTGTCAGTGGAATACCAATTAGCCTTTAATTTTACCACACGTCCAATCAAAAGAGCTATTGCTTTCACATGATGGCAGAAGGTCATTAAAACAAATGATCTTGCTGCCAGACAATGACAACAAAACCACAGCTCAGTAAGTAGTGTATCTGTTATTGAGCACTGACAGCACACTCAGTGCTGTGCTGCACTCATTTTTTCATTCTGAGTTGTTGCTGGTGATCTGATGGCCTGAGAGCTATAGCTAAAACATTGTCTCCTAACCTAACCTGTTAAGATACAATATTATTTGCTCAGACACACGAGTACACAGTTACTTTTGATGTCATAGCTGTCAAATTCTGTAGCTCTTCCTTTGCTTTCAGCTGTGCTTGCAGTTTTAATTTTTAGTAGTCTTCTCCAGAAGAAATAGCAGCCTGTCCTTTAGTACCCTGAGTGGTGGTTCTTCAACCCTGGCGAAGTAAGTGCTGATGCATTACTTAAGATGTTACAGTTTGTCTGGGTTCAGTCATCAGGATTCTCTGAAGTGTTTCACTTCATATTCTGCTGTGAACCATGGCTGGTTCAATGCTCTCTTCTGTTTGGGACATGAAAGAATTTCCAGATTCTAACTTTCTCATATTTCTTATCCTACTCAGTTTTAAACTTTCTTCTTGTAAGACAGTTGCCTGTTTTCCATCCTTCATCTTGAGAGCAAACTACTCCACAAAATTCCAAAGTAATGCAGTTACTACTGTATAATTGAAAGGTGCTATTCACAGATCTCAGTCAATCACACAAAGCGTTAACATGTGTTAATGTTTTTACATTCAAAAATGACATTCAAAAAACTCTATGTACTGGTAATAGATACTAATTCCCTTACCATTTATGCTTTTAAGATATCTGTGCAAAAGTAAAATAGAGAAACAAAATTGGAAATAGAGTATGAGTGACAACAAAAGAAAATCCTACTCTATATGTAAGAATTTCAGTTCAAGTCTGCAATTTTTTTCTGTGCTGAGTTTTTCCACTGATTTTGCTCAACAATACCATCAACACTGAGAACTCCTGCAGAGATGCTGCACTGGTAGCAATCAGGAAAAAATATTTTTATACTTGTTGCACAATAATCTAGACACCCAGTTTGTGATTTTTTTTTTCTGACTAACAGCTTCTTAAAAAGGAAAAATTTGCACTGATGGCAAATGGTCCTGTGAGAGGCCCTTGACCTGTCTGTAAATCAGGTTGCAAGTGAGCATCCAGAAAATGAGTATTGTGTAATCATTAACCCAATGACCACATCTCTTCCCCCCCTCCTCCACAACTGAGGAAAGCTTATTTTTTTCAGTGTCACCAGAATGTTCTTAACGGTGAAGAAAAAAAGTGATGTAGCTGTTACCCAAGTCAGTTATAGTCTCCAAGCCTCCTGATAGTAAGCAGATCTCTTCATAAGTGGTGTCCTGAGAAAGTATGATGCCTCCTGTCTGCTTCATTCACCAAATGCAGAGATCAGATATTTGGATTAGAGAACTACAGATACATGAAAACCATTGCCTGTACTGTCTGTGGCAACCAGTCCTGGGTGGGTGTCCTGACTTGATGGAATGGGAATGTATGCTAATTGAGTGCAGCACAGCTCTAGTAAGTCTGATTTTTCACTGAGGTGTATTCTAAAAGCTTTAGCTGAAGCCATTGGCACAATGCCCAAGAATTACCCTGGACTGACTTTTACAAGGTGGTGAAAGGATGGAGCAAAAGTGAGACCTGAAGTGTGAGAAATCCTGTCTTCCAAGGAGAATGTTTTAACTAACAGTGTAGTTGTGGGAAACAAAGAAAAATATTTTTCCATTACCTAGTTTCTCACACTGCCACCTCAAATGTGATGGATCAGAAAAGCCTTCAAGTATTCTTTGTGCTCTGTCTCATAAGCAGTTATGGCTTAAATCCTAAAGAGAGGAATGGAGACATATAAGAATTTACATTAAATATGTGTATTTGGTATAAAAAACTTAATATCTACCTGTTGTGAATTCATGCCTCCATATTGAACTTTGTTTTCTTATGGTTATTTTAAACCCCTAAAGTACTGCTTATTAAATGTCTTTAGAAATTAATATCACTGTTCATGTCTTTAAAATACATTTCTAGTGCTTTCACTTCAAAAAAAATTTGATTCACATACACTTTAGTATTTCAGAAATGAGCATGGAAAAGAGAAGGCCAAAGATCACTAATCATAATTATTAAAAAACAGTAACCCAAATGCTGAAAGCAAGCCTGAGTGACTGAAAGTCTCCACTCTTTTAAGATTAAAATAATAAAATTTGCCTTCTGATCTTAGTGATTCAGCAATCTCTGCCTTCAGAGATTTTTTGGCAAACATAAGCCCAGAAAATCAAAACAGACTTTTTCAAATATCTCAAAATGTTGAATGCCAGATATTTCTGGACCATATTTCACACTTAATCATGTATTTCTGGACTCACAATAAAACCTCCACACTTGCTAGCACTTCAGTCAGCAGCCAGAGAAGGCTCCTGTAGAAAGATACAAAATGCAAAAGGATCTAATAATGCTTTTAGAGCAATGTTTGCTCCATTATTTTCTACAGATGCTTCCTTCATTGACTTGTCCTGGGACCTGCATGTGCTGGTCTTCCTTTCTACCTACTTCATGCTCCTTGTACAAAAATGGTGTGATTTTTGGGGTTGTCCCATTGAAGGCCAAGAGCTGGACTTCAATGATCCTTGTGGATTCCTTCCAATTTAGGATATTCCATGGTTCTATATTTCTTCATCTGAGTCTTTCTAATGAAGTTTTACATAGCTGTAAACAAAATATTCCTTGCACAGGCAACTGCCCTTTTTAGGAGACGAGAAGGAAAGATGAAGCTTTAGATACTTGAAAACAAGTTGAAAACAAGTACCAAAATACTGCATTGCACTTGCAGCTGCCTCTTTGGGTGTTGGAATCAGCTGCTGGAACTGATGGAGAGGGCTTTAAACTAGAATTGATGAGGGAAGGGGCTACCGACACCATTGGGTTGGCATGGCATCACCTGAGTGTGGTAAGTGCTCATGGAAATATTTGCATTTGGTGGATTGAGTCTCCTTTATCAAAGGACATCCTTAGGATAACGGAGAGGTCCAGCAACATAAAATGTAATGCTGAAGAAAAGTCACATTGGTGATGGTTAATTAGTTTGTGGGCAGCTTTGCAAAGCATGGCTACAGTGTTGTACAGATGGCAGGTACAAACAAGCTCTCTACTTTCTGATTAAACAGCCCATGAGGCTGTTCTAGCCCAAAAGCCAGAGAACCCGTTAGCAAGACATCAAGTCAGAACTTGTCTCTCCAGTGTTCTTGAAGAGCTTATTAGGTCAGATTTGGTGCCAGATACTAATGCAGTCACATGTATGTCAGCAAAACAGGGGCAGGGTTATACAAAGATTAAAAAGAAACTTCTTTATGGACAGTCCATTAAATTTACTATAAAGTATCCGTAGTAGGTTTGTGAGCTGAAGCAATTTGAAGTCAAATATGTAAGTAAGCTGATATATATACATAACATACATACATACATATGTACATACATATACATATATATATATATATATATATATAAAATGTGTTGCTTGGGATGGTTTGGTTATGTATGAGTCAAGTTGACAGTATTCTCTTGACTGTGGATAAAAACTTCCTGTGAGCAGCAAGGGGTTAACCACTGAGTCATTATTACTGGAAATGTGTTCCAGCACCAAAATAATGGAGGCCCTAGTGTTTGATTTTGTGCTTCCTGGCAGAAAAAAATTCATCTTGTGCCTTAGTCAAGAATCAAACTAAGGGGTAGGGAAAGGTGATGGTAATAATGTCACAGAACTTGTCAAAAACTTGTTGCTTGCTGAGTATTCAGAGAGATGGATCAGACCATTTATTTAGCATAAAATAAAGAAGCGGATAATCTGAGATAAACCTAACTTCTGAAGTCTGATAGTATTCCCAGGCCCTACGCAACTTCGTTCTGCAGGCTTTTGATCAAGTCTTTTGTAAATGGGCATATGTTTCCTTAACTTTTTCTCCATGGTAAACACTCAGTTACCTGAGGTGTTTGGTTGCCTACTCGCATAACAGCAGGTTCTGGGCATTAGTCTTTCTTACATTTACTAAAATAAAGTAATATACGACAGTGTTACCAAATGGAAGAGGGAGAAAACTCTGTTGCCAATAGCATAATGGCAATCAAATTGAATTTTAGAATATAGTATTATTTATGGAATACCTTAGCTTTCCAAATTCCACTGTAAATAACATTGTTACTAATTAAGTCATACAGTAAGATGTTAATTTTCACTTTTATATGATGATAATTTTGTTCCTGAATGCATACACTACAAGTCCATTTAGGATAGATATTGTTCATTTGAAGCTGAGGCACAATGTTGGGACGGATTCTCAATAATTATTGTTCTATATATATGTGCTATTCATTCTAATTATGGACAGCTGAAAATGCAGCTGCAAAATCATAATTTTCAGTAAACTGTCAGTACTCATTACTGGCAAGGTCTTTTAATTTTTAGAATACAGTATTTTAAGCTCTCTATATTCCTTGTGTCTCTGCGCAGATGTTTTGAACATTATTTTCAAAAACTAAATTTTACAGACTCTGGACACAATATTTTTATGTTTAGGGTCTTTTTGTGGAAAAATAATAATTTTTGAATTAAGTAGATGCTTATAGGAATCTGTATACAAACATTTTAACAAGGCAAAAGCTTATAATTAGGAACTGATAAGCAGAGACTTTAAACAACTCTACCATCTTCCTTGAAAATAGATTAATAGCAAGCAAAAGTCACTAGGTTTGAAAGCTTTAAAAATGGTAAAAGGGTAATGAATTCTTCAGACTTGAAGGTTTGTCTCTGAACAATGGGGAAAAAAGACATATTATGTACTGAAGAGAAAAAAAAATGCTGCTGCCAATCTTTAATATTTTGGATACTGTAATCTTGCAGAAGCTTTAGTAGCTCTCCATTGCCAACATCTAAAATTCCATTTTCTTTTTCTTACAAATAAATCTGCTAAAAGGAGTTTATCTGTGGTGCCTTTAACCACATTTGCAGTAATTATTTTGACTGAAAGTTTCTTCTCTGCAATCATAGAAAAAACATGGCTAACAACTTTTTCTCCTAGAAACATCATTCCCTTTGCTACTGTTACAACTGTGTCATTTATGATGTTGCTATGTAGAAACTCTGATGGTTTTAACACTTCATACTCTAAAAGGGACAAAGCAACATCCTTTTCCTTTCAATCTTTTTTGCTCCCAAGAGAGTTTTACTGTCATACAGTGTGTGTTGATCCAAATCTGCAATTCTCAGTTCTGTGGGCATTTTCTATCTGCATATTTTTATATAAATTGCAGGTTTTGTGTTTTATAAATGGCATGGTTTACTGTTTCCTTTGAAACATAGCCTGTCTTCTCAAAGCTCTTTTCTCAAGCCTAAAATCCACCGATTTAAATGAGCAATTGTTTATATTTTCCTCAATTTTATATAATTAAAAATAGGGTTAGGAGCCACAAGAAGAATGGTCTTCATTAATAAAGGTCATTTCAAACTGTAAAATTCACAAGATCAATTACACAGTGCATATAAGGCTACACCTGTGTTCAGTTCTGGTCCCCACAATTCAAGATGCATGTGGACTGACAGGAGAGAGTCTAAAAGACCATGAAGATGATCAAGGGGCTGGAGAACCTGACCTGTGAGGAAACACTGGAGTTAGTCACTCCCTGGAGACGACAGGGCTCAGAGGGATCTCATCACAGTACTCCAGTACTTAAAGGGTGGCTACAAAGAGAATATCCTTTTTTTTAGAAAAAGAAAAATTCTGACCTGTCAGAATTTGGTGCCTTATCAAACTAAATGTAAGCATAGCATTTTCAGTCTTCAATATAAATAGCTTTTTAGAACCATATATTAAAAATTTGCAATATTTTTATTTGAAAAGTAATTGCTTGACATAATTATTTCCTTACTGTATAGGCATTGTGATAGAATGAGTAGCAGCCTCTAGTGCAGTTTGTCTACTGCTTTCTGTAATAAAATAAAATGGTTATAACTTTTAACAGCTCCAATTCCATTATGATTAGCTGCATATTTTGAAAGCTTGGCAGGAAAGAGTCTTTGGGCTAGAAAGGTGCTTTTTACTGCCATTATAAAAATTCCTATAGCATTGGCAGAATTTCAAATTGTCAGCAGCCATAATTTTTTTCTATGTTCTGTATATTGTATGGATCAGAGTTTTTCACTTCCTGCCAAAACCCTTGACATCTGAGAGCACTTTGTGCATATCACAGAGGTATCCTAAATCGTAATTTCATGCAGAATTCAAAGTCTGAATGGATTGTGAACCACATGAATCTTTTCCTGTTTAGAAAGTCTGTGAGGAAGAGGAACTGATCAAGTAATGAATTGATTCTGTACCTTAATTTTTTGTCTTCAGAATGATCTGTACACTTTGCTCTGCCTATTAATAAAAATGCCTCTTGCTTCACAAAGAATATGCACAAGCTTGAGGAAGAAGACATCTAGGACAGGCACACCAGCTACCTGTGAAGTTACACAAGGAAAGCACTACATAAAGTTTCTTTGTCGTTTAACCCAGTAAAATAAGACTGGCCAAGTATAAACAACCCTTTAAAAAAGGAGAAAAAACAAAGCCAATCTGGCATGGCTTGGAAACCTCTTTGTGGATATAATAACTAATCATTGTGGGACTCCATCAGAATATCTAATGATTTAATCTCCCATCTTAAACTAATGACATCAGAAACCTCTTCAGATCTCCAAGTTTATATTCCACTCGTATTTATTTTTCTTACCAAAAGGCCACGTTTGCTGATAGGAAAAAATTAAAAAAAAAAAAAATTAGGAGAGAGATAGCAGGCTATTATGAATCAATCTGACATTTAGACAAATCTGAGTTACGCCAGTCAGTGCATGCATCACAGCCAAAAATTTCTAGCTGATAGCATTACACAGTTTTGGACAATAAACTTGCAATAACTTGAATATTGAGTGGATTTCCTGAGTGGTAGGATTTGATTTTTC